CACACACACACACACACACACACACACACACACACACATACACACACACAGAAACATGAGAAAACAAGACGACAAAATGCCTCCAAAAGCTTCTAACTTTCCCCCAAAGCTGATCCATAGAGCATCAATGGAGAGGAAATTAAAACCCAGATAGATGAATTATACAAAATGATAAAAGAGGAGAAAAAAAACAGGTCAATAAAATGCTTCCTAAGTTCACAGATAATATAACCAAACAGATAACAGACATAATGAACAAAACAAGTGGTGAGTGAGCTTACAGACACTAATAAAAGCTAGCTGAGCTAAACAAGATGAAAAAAAAAAAACCAACCATGAATGACCACTTTAGAAAACAATTAGAGTTCATGAAAAGTTACCAAACAGAAATCAAGCTGATAAAATATTCTGTCGAAAGCATGGGCAACAGTAAAGAGCAATGTGAGGACGGAATGGCGGGACTAGGAGATAAGGCTGATGCAGGTGATCATATGCTCAAAAATACCCTAAAACAACAAGAGAACATGGAAAATAGATCCAACAGCATGTATGCAAAGAATAATCTAAGATTGATTGGAATTAATGAAAAATCAGAAGACAGCACCAATGACATATAAAACCTATTTATGGAAATAATAACAGAAAACTTGCCAAATATGGGGAAAGAAAATAACATACAGGTAAGTGAGGCAGTCATGATCAGAAATAACCTCCACAGCACATAGTAAAAAATCTGAGACCAAAATAAGAAAAGAATCTTACAATCTGTTAGAGAAAATCTACAGGTCACTTATAAACATAAACCCATCAGAAGTACAGAAGACTTCTCAACACAAACCCTAAAGTGCAGGAGAGCTTGTCAAAGCCCTAAAACAGTCTCCAACCTAGACTAATATATCCTGCAAAACTATCTTTCAAAATTGATAAAGAATTTTCACAAAAAGAACTTCTAAAGAAATTCATGATCATCAAACCAACACTCCAAAATATTCTCATATATCTTTGAAACAGACAATGAAGCTATCAATGCCAAAAAAGTCTAATGGAATGAATAAATCAAGCAGTGTAAGCAGGTAAGTGGAAAGGGGGAAAAAGGAGAATCAGCAACAGGAAAATAATGCAATGATAGGAAAAAAAGTCAATACCTTTCAGAAATAATTCTCAATGTGAATGGTCTCACTTCCCCAGTAAAAAGATATGGATTAGCAGAATGGATCATAAAACTCAATAGTGTGCTGTATACAAGAAACACATTTAATTAAAAAGATATTCACAGACTAAAAAAATCAAAGGATGGAAGCCAATATTTTCTAAAAAATATTGGGTTTCAAGCTAAAACTCATCAGATAAAGCAAAAAAGTCACTATATATTAGTTAAGGGAATAATTCAACAGAAAGATAAAGTATGTATGCACTGAAAAGTGGTGTTCCCAACTTCATAAAACAAACACTACTGGGCATAAAAGATCAGAAGGGCTGGGGATTTAGCTCAGTGGTTCTGCCACTTGCCTCGCAAGCTCAAGGACCCAAGTTCGATCCCCGGTACCAAAAAAAGAAAAAAAAGATCAGATAGACATCAACACAATTAAAATGGGGACCTCAATGTCCTATTATCACAAATAGATCTACTATACAAAAAAATCAAGAAAGAAGTATCAGAGTTGGTGTAACTAAAACTCCTTCAAACAAATGAACTTCATAAATATCTATAGAATGTACAACACAACAGAATACACATTCTTCTCAGCAGTAAATGGAACTTTCCGCAAAATAGACCACAAACCTATAAAGCAGACTTAGATAAATAAAAAAGAACTGAAATCATCCCACCCACATTATCAGATCAGAGTGCAGTAAAACTAGAGATCAGTGGCAAAAGAAACTACGAAAGTTATGCAAATGCATTGAATTAAATAATATTCGCTTGAAAAATCAAGGGGTCATGGAATAAATTAGACAGTACCCAAAATCAAATGATAATGCCAGTACAACATATCAGAACCTAGGGGACACAGTGAAAGCAGTCCTAAGAGGGAAGATTTTAGCGTGAATACCCACGTCAGAAAAAGAAATCAAGTCTAAAAAATAATAAATAATCTAATGATGTAATTGAAGGTCCTAGGAAACCAAGAACAATTCAATTCCAAAGCTAGTCCAAGGAAGCAAATTATAAAGTCCAAGGCAGAAATTAATCAAATTGAGACCCCCCCAAAAAAAACAAAACAAAACCCCCAAAGCAAGAATCAATGAATTCAAGAGCTGTTTTTTGTCAGAATGAACCAAATAAACAAACCCTTATCCAATCTTACCAAAAAAGGGTAATATCCAAATCGATGCAATTAGAAATGAAAAAGGTGAAATCAAAAGATATCACCAAAACTCAGATCATTAGTAACAAATTTGAGGAGACTCCAGATGAAAATAATAGATTCCTAGATACATGTGAAGTACCAAAATAAAATCAAGAAAATATAAAAACCCTGAGCAATCCAATAACAAGCAACAAAATTGAAGCAGTAATAAAAACAAAACAAACTACTAACAAAGAAAAGCCCAATTCCTGACAGATTCACTACTGAATTCTACAAAATAGTCAAGGAAGATCTAAGGCCACTATTCCCCAAACTCTGTAATAAAACTGAAAGAAAGGAGTACTGCCAGAGTCATTCCTGGAAGTTTGCATTATCCTGATCCCAAACAAGGAAAAAAAATCCAAGCAAAAAACAGAATCTCAGACCAATCTGACTCTTCAGCGAATATGGACAAAAAAATCCTCAACATACTGAGAAACAGAATGCAACAAATCATCAAAAAGATCACACACCACAATCAAGTTGGTTTCATCCCAGCGATGGATATGCACATGGTTCAACATAATATACATCGCATAAACAGAAGCAAGGACAAAAATCACGTGTCTCTCGTCTCTATTTCTCCATCTCTCCGTGATAAGGTGTTTCCTGCTCTGGGATTCGGGGTTCAACTAGCCCCAGACTGGTACGTCTCCCACAAATTTGCCATCAACTTCATCGCCAAACTTGAGTGTGCTGTATGGAAAAGGTGTTGTTAGCCATACCCATGGAATTTGAAAGGAGTGGACCTTTGAGCACGCACGTTTGTGTTGATATTGGAGTACCCTTGCCTTGTTTGCTGTCCCACTCCTATAATCCCAACACTCAAAAGGCTGAGGCAGGAGGATTGCTGTGAGTTCAAAGCCAGAATGGGGTACATAGTGAGAACCAATTTCAACCAATCCCCTTCCAAAAAGTAAATTGGAGTATGCAGAATGCAGTGGGTGGAAGGGGAATATTATAAAGCCCACGTCCTGATGGAGGATTATTATCACGGTATTCTAGAGATTCAGTCAGTACAAGTAACAGGTTCTGAGGCTTCTTCTCAGGGTTCTTCCACTTACGGAGCTGTATGCAACTGATACACAATATCGCATTCTTTGTAGAGACGTTCGGAAAATGAATTGTCAGAATCAAACGGTGCATAAAATAATGCCTTGGACACAGGAAGTAATAGTTACTGGAACCAGCCATAAACGTTACCAATACATAATAACAACACAAATTCATAGTGAACAAAAACCCAAGTCCTAAATTTATGGAGCACTTCACAATTTGCCAATACGCATGCGAGGTAGGCAGAAACTACCAAAATTCAAGATTCTTTGCAGAAATTAGCAGACACGAAAGATTTAATGGACGGGCCTTCGATCGATCTGTCATTAACACATTGCTCAGCCAGGGAAGTCTGTTCTGGCTTCTGCAAGCAGCCGCCTTCCTCGGCGGTTTATACTCTTGAACAACAGATTGGTGTGTTTATTCCCCAGAGTTCACTGTATTCATGCCAAGCCAAGGGAATGTATTAATATACAATTAAATGCTATGATTAAAGACACATACGCATGTAAGTTTGAATCCTCCTACTGCTGGGTGAATTCATTGTCAATAGCTAGTACATTGACCATATTGTAACTTAAAGCAATATTCTACTGAAAATGACCAGACGATGTGCTTTGAGAGTCACCCCAAGTACACGTTTACATCCTAAATCGTACAACTAACATTAAAAACCAATATCGACTGAAAATAAAGCTAAGCTAAATTTTGTCTTCATCTGCTCCAAAAGAAAAAAACAAACTTGAAGTCTCTAAATTTGCATATGAATTTGGGTCAGTTCTTCATCTAACTCGATTTTACTTTTTTGCGGGGGGGGGTACCAGTCAGGGATCAAACTCTGGACCTTGTGCTTTGTGCTTACAAGGCAGGCGGTGGAACCACTGAGCTAAATCCTCAGCCCTAACTCAATTCTAAAGGAGAGTATAGTTGAGCCACAGGAATCGAATAATTCCTAAGGATTTCCTCAAGGACCTGATAATGCCCACTGAAAGATGTAGCTGCGGCCGCTGGATTGTCTCACTCGGACCGAAAGCAAGCCCAGCCCTCGCGCCCTGTCCCGCCATCCTCCGCGGGTCTCTCCGCCGCCC